ATATGTATGAAAGGGTATCGACTAGTTTTTAGATATAGGGTAGAGAGACAGACGATTTTTCCATTACAATTGGTTTGCATCAAGGGTCAACCCTAAGCCCATACCTTTTTACCTTAATTTTGGATGTACTCACGAAATACATCCAAGAGATAGCTTCAAGATGCATCCTTTTTGTATATGATATAGTCCTTCTTGGAGATTCAAATGAGGAGTTAAATGAGAGGCTTAAAACTTGGAAACAAGTTTTAGAAACACATGGTTTTCGCCTAAGCAAAAGTAAGTCAAAGTATATGGAATGTAAGTTCAACAAAAGAAGTAGTGTTTCTAACTTAGAGGTGAAAGTTGGAGATCATATTATCACTCAAGTCACAAGATTTAAATATCTTGGACCCGTAATAAAAAATGATGGAGAAATATAAGGGGATGTAAACCATAAAATTTAAGCTAAATGGTTGAAATGGAGAAAGACTTCAGGGGTTTTATGTGATGCAAAGGTACCGATCAAGTTAAAGGGAAAGTTTTATTAGACTACTGTAAGACCTGCGATTCTGTACGAGACAAAATGTTGGGAAATTAATAACTAGCACGAGAATAAAGTAAGTTTAGCAGAGATGAGGATGTTGCGGTGAATGTGTGATAAGACTCAACATGATAAAATTAGAAATGAAATTATTAGAAAGAATGCTGGAGTAGCGCCTACCGTAGAGAAGATGATAGAAAATAGACTTAGGTGGTTTATGCATGTAGAGAGAAGACATGTAGATTATGTAATAAGGAGAGTAGATTAGATGGAGAAAAGACAAACAATTCAAAGAGGAGTAAGACACAAAAAAATTATAAGAAAAATTATTTAAAAAGATCGCAAAAATTGATCATGTAGCCGAACCCACCTAGTGGGATAAGGCTTAGTAGTTGTTGTTCTTTTTATGAGCCTTGTGCCCAATAAAAAAAGGATTTCTTATTCCGACTCATGATTTTCTTACGCACCACGTGAAATTCCTTAAATTCCCCTCAAATCTGGAAGTATATTTTCGGTGCGCACCAAAATTTGATAAGCTATACATTGGAATTGAAATTTAATTTTTGGTTTTGACCCGAATAAGTAATTCTGGTTTTGTGCTACACAGAAACCAGGAAAATATTATTGAATAACACCAATATTACAAACTCAAAATAAAATTCATAACATAAACATAGGAAATACATTAAGGATTTTAACATAAATCAAACATTACAAATCAACGTCCATGTGGGCGTTGCAACATCATGATAATATCATTGACCAATCTTGAAATAGTCACATCTAGCTCGATCGAATCTTTCTCCTCAAAACTGGTAAAAGTATTCCATATAGCCCGCATATCAACGATGTTCTTCAGCTCACAGTTGATGAATACAAGCTTTCCATCTTTGTCAACGGATGGCGTGCGATACCCAATCTTCACAACTTTGCGATTATCACTAAAAGGTACAAGTTCCTTCAATATTTCACGCACATCTTCAATTGGGGTGTACTTGGTGAACTTAAATTTGCGTGATGGAGTAGCGTCAGTAAAGTGGATAACTCTAACATGCGATTTGATGTTCATTTCTAGTTTTTGGAGTTCTGGTATGAAACAATATGACAACTGAGGTTATTTATAGTAGTTGGAGGCAAACATGAACCATACAAATCCTATCCATGTGTTAGAGTTGAAACCAGAATTTCACTTCCGGTTTTATATAAATTGGAACCGAAAATATATTTCCGGTTAGTCCACTGGGAGTGAAAAACCAGAAACAGAACAAAAACATCAACTCATTCAAAAAACCTCATGTATTCAAATATTATATTTTGGTCAAACTACAAAATAAATATATTTCCACAGTATAATATATGAACAAAATGACATTTAAAATAAAATGATACCTAACTACTTAAATGAGCCGAAAAAAATTTCACCGACCAAATCCACTAGTGGCACACCTTTTGACTTTTCTCTATTTTTTTCTATTTCAATTTTGTTCAACTTGTTGCATTCTTGCATCCTTTCAATGATTTGGTCCGGCCAGGTCTTAGATGAAATTGTGAAATGAACCGTCCACTCTGGTGATGTAGGTGGTATAGGGCATCTCGGTTTCAAATACACTCGAGCAAAATACCGCGTATTTCAAACCCACCTAACACATATGATACGATCATTGGGATTTAGTGTTGAAGTAGTGCACAGAGGAAAAAAAGTCTATGAGAAATCATATCTTGTAAGATTATTACACACCCTCTCATATGCACTTGCTATGAGATGACCCATTTCAGGAAAATGCATCCATTTATCCTCTGGTGCAAATCCATTTACACAAGGTACAAAAGCGTTAAATATATCTTCAACTTTCTCTTTACTCCCGAACACAGGTATGTATAAATCTCTATTTCCCCTCAAATCTCTGATAAGAGTATCGCAAACAAGTTGGTGAGCCTCTTCCCCTTTACCGAGAAAACTAGAAACAACTCGAAAACCACAGTTACTATCACCTATAACATTGACGATTTGTTTAATGTACTTGTGCATAAAAACCGATATGTGATCGATGAATGGTATTTTGGATGAAGTCAGTGTAGGAGGTGGTTTGTTAATAAAGGCACCTTTGAAAGCACTTTCTGAGATTTCAGAGTAGGTGAATCAGGAATTTTTTTGTCAACATGTTCAAAATATAAAGGACTCCTCGTAGTTGAAATGTCGCCCGGTGTCGGTTTCACCATCTTAGGCCCCTATAGTTTTTACCGATTGAGATGGTGGTTTCAAGTTTGTGGTCTCCGGGAACACAATCTTCCTCAATTTCTCTTTGATGTGGAGTTTTGTGGCGTCATCGGCTTTCAAAAATCTTTCTTGTATCGCTTCCCATTCAGTCAAGATGGAATTACTTGGTTTATCTTCTTTCATTTTACCGTCATCTTCAAAACCGAGTCTCTTCCAATGACTAGAGGCCTCATCCATACGTATCGGGAAATAACTTTCATCTTCTTAGATATGACATAAGCACAAGGGAGACCATATATTTTCACAATTGTACAATCATACTTTGAACTGTCGGAACCGACATTAGAAGCTTGTTTGGCTTCGTGAAAAATGTAATTCAGAGTTGCCCGAGATAAATTATCGACCAACTGAGAATATATGATGTTCTCTTTGAACCTGTGTTCCAACACCGGGATACTATGACTAAATGTTGTATGTATCTCATTATGTTGGTTTAGTATCATATGATTCACAGAATCCCAACCCGTAATCAAATCACCCTTGCTATTTCCCAGCCAATTCTTCAAACAAGCACGAGCAGACTCAACTCGACTTGTTGTTGTATTTCTGAGATACATAACCTCATCGATCTAGGCACAAACAATCTTCTCTTTTACCTGATCAAGTATTATGTCTTCAACATATTTCAATAGATCGGGATATTTCACGCAAACATTTCTGAATTATAACAGAATTTAATTGAGTCATGACGAGTCCAATAAATATCTCTTACTGTTACCCCATCATCACCTCGTCGGTGCCTACAAACATAAATATTTTCATCTAGAAGTTTCAAGAGGTGTTACATCTTGGTTCGATCCTCCCTAATCGCTAATTTGGATTGATAGCGCCTATTGTAAACTTACTTGATATTTGACGTATTCCCGAGTCTTTTGTACTTCAAGGTTGCAAGTATGTTTTTGGACGGTGCCAAGTTCAAAGTCATGTCAGATACACATGTCTTCTCATCCGGAAGGAGCCGACATGCAATTGGATGACCGACTAACTTTTGACTTAAATCATGATTGTGTAAACCACATATCACATTAAATCTTCATTTGTTATTTTCCAAAAGATAACCACATAACCTAAATGTACATTCATATTTTCTTGAACCTGTATCGTCGCATTACAATTTTTGGATACGACGAGATATATTTCCCACTTCTTTCGCATGTCAAAGTCACAAATGCATTTCTTTTATCCGTACCATTTTCGAACCTCCCAATCACAACACTAAATCCTAGCTTTGTAGCCTCTAAATGAATCAACTGCAACATGTCTTCACGTAATTCAAACTCTTCTCCATTTTTAAAATGTGCACGGATATCTACCACCTCAGTTACGATAGGAGATACGAGAGGTGAAACAACTTGAGACACATTAGGTTTGAGAATGTTATCGGGATGAACCATATCTAATGTTAAAAAACATATAAAACTTATTAAGACTTACATAGAACATGACAAAAGCTGCTGTCAAATAAACACAGACAGAAATCAGAATTGCATTTCCGGTTATGTTCAACTACCAACCGGAAGTATACATCTGGCTTTCACGTAACCTTTTTCCATAATAATAAACAAATTAATGTAAGAAATGAAGATTGAAATGAATAAACTTTACCTTAAATTCCACTTACTTGAGTTCCTTTTGATATGATGAACCACAAAAATGAAGATTTAGAGTGGAAAAATAGATTGAGAATGAAATGATTTTTGAGAGGTTTTATGGAAAGAAGAAGAAGAAGTGGTTTGATCAAAGTTGACTATGATGGTTACTGTTTTAAGCATTATGAATTTTTTATAATACCAGAAATATACTTCCGATTATATACGAAATGACAAGGTGGCAGAAAAAAATCAATTTTCCCGCTCTTAAAACCGAAAACATAATACCGGTACAAAATCGAAAATATATCTCTGATTTTATTTTTACATTTTGAAGGTGAAACCATATTTGACCTATTTTTATAAAATATAAATGTGAATCGAAAATGTATTTCCGATTTTTTTTGGACATGAGTGGAATAAGAAATTAAAAAAAAAAAAAGTTTTAGACTAATAGCAACAAGAACAAAAAAAATCCACCGTTGTAATGTGTAAAACTCCTACTTTCTTCTCATAGACATTTGTCGGTTGAAACTCAAGACAGCAAGTTAATTGTAATCGTAAATCTATAGCAGAAGAAGGAAGCAAAATAGGATTCGATTTAAGGACGCAGATGGAAGATGAATCGGCCACCAATTCACACGATTCGATTTGCCCAATCTGCCTTGGACCCTTAACTCAAGATTCCTATCTCGACCATTGTTTGCATAAATTTTGCTTCAATTGCATTCTCCGCTGGACCAAAGTTGTTTCCTCCAAGCACCAAACTCCACCTTCTTCCGTAAAATGCCCCCTTTGTAAGGTTCGCTTATTCCTCTCACTCTTCGACTCTTATGCTGATTTTGTTTTACTCACCTAATTTCTATTCTTATGCAGACAGATAACTTTTCTATCATTTATGGACTTGATGGAACTTCCTTTCAACGCCATTATATTAATACAAATCTTCAAGATTGGTTTGTTCTCTCACTATGCCTATGTTTGTTTCTAACTTTAGTAGAATTCTCATTTTATATAATTTGTCTATGCAGTTTTGTGTTATCAAAAGGACACAGATTTAGGTTACAATGCTATTATACTCAACAAGGTCTTCTATAATCTATTCTACCACCTTTTATTCATCATTAAAGGAGTCTGTTTCTTATACTTATGCTTTTAATTTTGTAGGTTTCTTAGAAGACATATTTAATATATCACTCTATTGGAAATCTCGTAAGTATAATCAGCCAAATAACTGGCTTCGCACTTGGTTAACAAGGGAAATTCAAGCCCTTACTCAGGTTTGTTTATTTTCCATGTTACTGCATTGTTTCTGCATTCACTCTAAAGTCACTGCAGTGGAATAAACCATCAATTTAGTCCATAAATTATCATCCTGTCTCCAATTTTGTTTCTAGCGGTTAAATGTCCACTTCGTCTAGAGATAAAAAGAACACAACTGTGACGTCTAACCTAGCAATATCAACTTTTGCCAATTGAGCTAAGATTTGCAGACAACGCTCCATCAATTTAGTCGCTTCTATTAAGATGTTGAGGACTTTATTGACGGATTTTCATATACTGTAACTTGTAAGGGCTAAATTGATGGATTTCATTTAGTTTGTGAACTATTTATCATATTTTTATAGCTTATGGATTCAGTTGGAGGGAATGATAGTTTAGGGACTAAATTGATGGTTTATTCCACAGGAAATGATTGTCATACTTACAAATGTGTTTCATCTACTAACTGTATTATGTTGCATTTTCTTTAGCACTGCTGTATGCAATGGTCCTAACTGTGCAAATAAATTTTCTAATAGTTTTCTTTCATAACTTGTACGCTTAGGCCCTATTTGGATAAACAACTTAATTAAGCGCTTATTATACATGTGTTTATGTATTAGCTATTTCTGTTTGTCTTTAAAGTCATAAGTTGTTTTTATAAGCTACATGGAGAGCTTATGAAAATAAGTTGAAAACAACTTATGAACATGTCATAAGCTATTTATAAGCTCTCCTAAACAATTTAATAAGTGCTCTTACCAATAATGCAATCCGAAATGTCTCTTATTCTTGACTCACACCTCCTTTTGCTTAATCTTTAGGAAGAGGATGTTGACATCATTGTGCACCATATCTCTGGTGTGGTAAAACCATTATGGACAAGGTAAGTTTCTTCATGCATTTTAAGTTGTTCTAACATTATCTCATATGAGTATGACGAAGAGTGATGGTCTTGTTACTGTTGATTCTCTAACTTTCAGTAAAGAACAGAAGCTGCTCACAAAAGAACCTGAAAAGATACAGGAAGAGTTCATGATGTCGGTCTCTGAAGCAGCCAGGCCTTTTCTGGGAGCAAGAACAGACAGATTTGTGCATGAGATTCAACTATTTCTTGCTTCAGGATTGAATATCGAAGCTTATGATGCAGTTTACATACAACGATTAGGTTGGAGCTCACCTGGGGTAAACACTGAAGTTTCTCAAAATGAATTGATTGATCGCACTACTGTGATTCCATATCTCTACATATTTGATGACGACTCTGATGGGAATGAGTAGATTCCTCTTTTTCTATTTTTATCCTCATTTGTTTGTTGTAATTCTTGAATAATGTGATTGCTCCTCAAATGGAACATGAGTAAATTTTACACATATCAAAGAGCACTATTGCGAGTTTGAACCTTTCTAGCTACAGTGCCAATATTCATCCACGTGCATGAAGTTGTTAACATATACTTTTAATGGATATTACTATTATTATATAGTAACAGTTTTCGTTATCTAGATCTTATGTTGCAAGATTCATTTCCACCATGGAGTATCAAAAGCCTGATTCTTTAGGCTTTTGCCAATTTAGATTTTGGACTTATTTCAACTACACAAAATTTGCTTATAAGATGAGATTTATCTAAAGCTTTAAAAGCAATATTTAAGCTTTATCTCTATGATGACCGCATAAAAAACTGAACTTTAAATATGTAAAAATAGAAAATAAATTAAAATGACATGGTTAAGTAAATATAGAGAAAACTACGTGTTGGGACCACACTTTTGGATAGGCCAATCAAAATAATCATACCGACAGTGAAACTTCTACTGACAAGAGAAGCTCCTTAATCAATCCTTGTAAGTTTTTTTCTGACCCACAAACCAGTGAAGAGGTGCTGCTGTTATCATCTGTGGGTGGTTGTAAACTTAATACAGTAGCTTTGAAAATTACATGGAAACAGCCTCAGATTATGGAGCATTCATGGAGAAATTCATTTTACCACCAACTTCTTCTTCCTCTGATCTTCCTCTGAATTCGCTCACCTTTGCAGTCAAAGACATGTAAGTAATCCGCGTCACTTTCGTAAAATTCAGAGACTCAAAATTTTCCTGCCTTCAAAGTGGACTCATATTAAATTAACTTTGTATCTGAATCCATACATCTTGACATTGATGGAAGATTTTGTTTGGTTTTGTCAAACAGATTTGATGTGAAAGGGTATGTAGCTGGATTTGGTAATCCTGATTGGGCTAAGACTCATGAGGTTGCTACTTCTACTGCTCCAACAGTTTTGGCTCTCCTTAGTGCTGGTGCCACTTGTGTTGGTAAAACTGTCATGGATGAAATGGCTTACAGGTTTTGTTTTTTGTCTGTCAATTTTTTCACTCATTCTAAAGAATTCTCGAGTTTTTTTAGTCTCTGAGTACTTTTCTGTTTCTTGGGAACATCTTTTATCACTAAATGTCATTTAATGTAAATCAAATGATGATTTATATGCTCACTTTTTTTTTGGGACTAATTCTCACTAAAGAAGTGTGTTATATTTGGAAGTTGTATTAGTCTCTAAATTTGAAATTTGAAATTTGAAAATTAAAATTATGAATCACTATGAATCTAATCACTAGGGTGTATACATGTATATTTCCTTATTTTACTTTTCAAGATTGACTATAGGAGTTTGTTTGTTAGGTAAAATATGATTCTATGAGTATTTGTATTTTTTGTCGTCGGGCATGTGCATATGTTGAACATGTTACTTATGTTAGTTGTATAATGCGGTACTCTGATTTGACAGTATAAACGGAGAAAATGTGCACTATGGAACACCTAGAAATCCTTGTGCAGAAGACCGGGTTCCAGGAGGATCTTCTAGTGGTTCTGCTGTTGCAGTTGGTGCAAAGCTTGTTGATTTCTCTATAGGTCATCCATTCTTTCATTCCATGAGCTATTTTGAGCACCACTTAGTTGATAATTTGAAGTGCTGTTATGTTTTTCTTTTAAAGGTAGGATACTCTCCCATTCCATGAAATTAATAATCTAATTTTTTTGTTAAAATTATAGGAACTGATACAGGGGGAAGTGTAAGGGTGCCCGCATCATATTGTGGGATTTTCGGTTTTCGTCCTTCTCATGGCACTATCTCAAAATCAGGAGTTGTTCCTATGGCACAAAGTTTTGATACCGTAGGTAATAATGCGCAATCTTGGTAGTTATATGGAACATATCTAGTGATCTTGAAAATATAGCTTCAGAAATTGTTGAGCCCTTATTCTCCAGATTGATTTTCTTATTCTCTTATTCACATCTAGGTTGGTTTGCTAGGGATCCAAAGATTTTAAGCAGAGTTGGACATGTACTTTTACAATCTCCACAGGTCACACCTGTTAGACCTACCCAGGTTATCATTGCAGAGGATTGTTTTCAACTTTCAAGCATTCCTTACGATGTAGTTCCACGGACTGTCATCAAAGCAGTACAGAAGTTGTATGGAGGTAAATGTTTGATATCAATTCAGTATAACTATATGTTGTTTTGGCCAATTTTATTTAACTGATAATTTTTGTCGATGTATGCATCTATCCACGGCTGCAGATGATGTATTAAGGCGTGAAATCCTTGGTGAATATGTGAAGACCAAAGTTTCGGGTTTGAAACATTTCATGAGCGAAGAAAACACAAATCAAGTATACAACATTCCATCACTGGCTGCACTTTCAAGTGCGATGCGATTGCTTCAGAGGTATAGCTCACTACTCCATCCTTAATCTTCTAGATATTGCGGATATTTCCTTTAGTTAAAATTCAAATCCTTTCTTATTTTACTATTTGTGACATAGGTATGAATTTAAGAATAACCACGGCGAATGGATCAATGCATTCAAACCTGATTTAGGTCCCGGAACTTCAGAACGTGTAACAGATGCCCTAAGCACAACAGATGAGGATATTGATATTTGTCATTCTATAAAAGGGGAGTTGCAAGATGCTCTTACTTCTCTTCTTGGGGTATTCTTTTTCTCTGACACCCTTGGCATGCATTGTTTTTCTATAAGTCAGTTTTACAGTTTGTTTGAGAATTTCAGGATTTAGGTGTTCTTGTGATCCCGACGGTTCCAGGGCCTCCACCTAAACTACAAACAAATTCATCTGAATTAGAAATTTTCCGCGCAAGAGCTTTTAGCCTGCTGTCCATTGTTGGAGTTTCTGGATTTTGCCAGGTTATTCTTTGTGTGTGTTTATGAAACACTTAAACTCGTGTTTCTTCGTTATTTAAAATGATTTTCTTTTCTCGACACTTTGCAGGTAAGCATACCGCTAGGGATGTATGATGACCTTCCTGTATCAGTTTCTCTGGTGGCCAGAAATGGTGCAGATGGATTCTTGCTTCACCTTGTTGAGAGTATTTATGATAACATTGAAAAATAGGATCCAGCATAATTCAGTTACTTTTTTGTAACTGCAATGAAAGTCGGTGTAGGCAAATTTTTGTATATTCAAATTGAGACAAAGAAGTTTATGGAAGTATTAGAATTTTTTGAACAAGAGACATGTTTTAGTCACTCATTTTCTTTGTACGTTAAGTGCAATAAATTGTAAGTTTGAGTGTTAAGATTTCCAATTCCAAAATATATAAGGAGAAGAGTGTCAATAAAATATGGTTTGAGGAAGATGAATATATGTCACTTCTAGATTTTTTTTTACACTAAACAATGTCATGCATTATATGAAAAAGAGATATGAAAAAGACAGAATATAAACATAGAGAAAGATAATTTCTTAGCGTATTTTCCATCCATAATTTGATAACAACATTAATAATTAAGGCAAACAAGTTATAGACATAAAAATGCTTTGAGAAATTAGAAACCAATAGAGAGTTGTCAATTCAAATCCTTAATCCAAGCAACTAAGCAATATTTTTTCGCAAGAGCAAGTGAGTTTTGGAACCACAATCTTTAAATCTATCTAGTTACGGATTATTTATTTAGCTTTATCACGCACAATTCAATTATATAGGTTCTCAAGATTGATTAAATTCACAATTTATTGAGGAATCAGTTGTTGATTGGAAGGAGGATTTTGTTTTGCTACAATTCTAGTTAGATTCTCACTCATAAACACATCTCTTTCATCCAAGTTTCTTTGAGGAATTTCATCAAACACTCTGAGCACAAACTTACAACAATTTAAGCCCGAGAACAACACGCACAACAGAACAAACCAAACAAGAAACAACAGAAACCACAACAACACAAACACAATAATAATAACCATTACAAGTTAAATCTTATTGACTAACCAAAGGGAGTTCATCCCAGATCGGCATATAGAGAACTATGTGATTTTGGCCTGAGAGGCAGTAAATGTGATGGACAAGAAAAATTGGGGGCAGAAACGCGATCTTAAAGATTGGTATTAAGACAGTATTTGACACTTTAGACTGGAATTTTTTCATTGAAGTGTTGGAGACCTTTGAGTTTAATGTCAAGTGCTAATCTGGATAAGGGAAATTCTTCTATCTTTTAGGCTCTCAATTCTTATCAATTTTTGAATGCAAAGGGGGGGGGGGAGGGGGGGTGTTGAGAAAAGGGAATCCTCTGACTCCTTTATAGATGGCCAGGAGAGGTTATGACTCAGATGGATATTTGGTTTTGAAATTTTATTTGGAGCGGGAATGTCCTTATCCGGAAGATGTGTACAGTTTTTGGAAAGATGTTTGTATGTCATTGGAGCAAGATGGGTTGGGAATTAGATCACCAAATCAGATGAATGAAGAATTAATTTTGAATCTTGCTTGTGGGTTTATCTTTTCCAACTATGACTAGGCGAAAGTTTATAGGTAAAAATTTATGGCTAATAATCGCCTAAAGCAGTATAACATCAAATCCTCCATTTGGATAGGCATTAAGGATCATTTTGATATGGTGATTGAAGTTACTAGATGGGTTACCGATAATGGGAAGAGAATTAACTTCTGGAATGATAACTGGCTTGAAGAGCCTCTTAGTGAGATTATGGACACTCCACTTTATACTAGAGCTAGGCTATCCAATAAGTTAGAAGGCCCGATGAAGGATGGTAGTTGGGTTCTACTGAACTTCATAGCAACTGAATACTTGAATATTGCTTTACGTATTACTCAAAGTTATCTTCCAAAATATAATCTTCAATATATCATTGTATGGATATACATGAGCAACATGATATTTCCGGTGAAAGAGGTGCATAAGTGCCCGGTTGACACTAGTGACCCCTAAGATTGGGAGAAACTGATTTGGTAAGACTTTAT